TGATCTCACTTTCACTGACAGTTATATCAAGGTACAATAGGCGACCATTATGAAGAATAACGATGGATTCATATTCTCGTCCAGTGAACACAGTGAAAGTGATGGGTTACTCTCATACAATATTCAACATACACTCTCAATATAAGTGGTGAACAATTTTGAACATTCTGCAGGTGTTACAGCTGTTCAATCACTAGCCTCAGCTGCCAGTCACTCACATAAACATTGAACAGTAACTCAACCACTGGTGAGATATTCACACTAGTATACTCCTTCATTTTACCAGTAAACAAAGTGATTGGACGAGAAATGAAAATCTAAATTATACATTTGAGATTATTATTATTAATGTTTTTATAATTATCATTGTCATATTTATTATTATTATTATTATTATTATTATTATTATTGCTATCATTATAATTATTAATATTATTATTATTTATTATTGTAATTATTAATATTATTTATTATTATTATTCCTAATATAAATTAATACATTAAATCCATATGGAAGCGCTAAATCCGCAGGGGTCATACACATCCTGGAGAAAAGCAGGCAACCAGATTTTATCAAAGAAAGGAGAGGGCAGCACCAATTCACTGAATCAAGAGCACCGCATTACCGCCTCTCCTTCTCCTTGTTCAGGACCCTGGTGTAGTAGATAGGTTTCAAACCCAGTTAAGCTAAGGTGGTGTGCAAGATGTTGTAAGTGGCCACTCAAAGCGACCAATCACAATCAGTGAAGAGAGGTTGGTTTGGTTGGCTGACTGAAAGTCTATCGACTACACGAAGTTCATTAAGACTGAATGTCGCCTGTACACCACTAGTCAATAATGACTTTATACTTCAACCAGCGGTTAAGGTAATCTGTGTGTGTATACACTGAGAAACACCTCACGGTGTACATGAACTCAGAGATACACACCTCTCGGTGTATATACGATGAGATACACACCTCTAAGTGTATTTACACATATCTGAAGATATGTGTGTAAATACACATGAAAGCGCTTAGGTTTTCCTATTTATGCTTGCTTTCACTATGATTCTTGTGTATATATATATATATATATATATATATATATATATATATATATATATATATATATATATATATATATATATATATATATATATATATATATATATATATATATATATGTCGTGCCGAATAGGCAGAACTTGCGATCTTGGCTTAAACAGCAACGTTCATCTTGCCATATAGGACAAGCAAAAATTTGTGTATATAATTTCGCCAAAATCATTCTGAACCTAACGAAAAAAAATATATTTCACTGCGTTTGTTTATTATTAAATTATTGTAAACAAATCTAAAATATATTTAGTTGGGTTAGGTTAAAATAAATTGTTCTTGTTATAATAAGGTTAGGTAAGTTTTCTAAGATTCTTTTGGTGCAAAATTAAAAATTTTTACATTATCATTAATGAAAAAAATATATCTTCAAACGTATAAGAGAAAATTTCAGAAAGGACTTAATTTTAAATGAGTTCTTGCTAATTGACCAGTTTTACATATTCGGCACGACATATATATATATATATATATATATATATATATATATATATATATATATATATATATATATATATATATATATATATTAGTGGTATAGTATTGGGCCTAAATATTGTGATAGTAACTGCACATTAAGAGATAAGATGGGCCTCGCCTTTAAGTGTTACAGATACTTGTTATCTAATGTTATCTTTTAACATGAGTGAAACTCACGGGGGAGGTCTGCCATACGTGGGGAAGAGCGCTAAGCACGTAGGAATGAAGGGGTTGTAAAGCGCCTGTGGGAATAGAAGGCAGACAGGTGTGAATCCTAGGAAACGATGGGGGGGGGGTCGCGTTTTCTCTTCCTTGGATCAAGAACCCTTCGCCAACATAAAGGTGACTTCCCTTGATGAAGATGAACCATATTTTGTTATCAGTATCAGGATTGAATAAGAAGAATTCGATTATTATTATTTTCTATTTTTTCTTATTCATTTCTTCTTCTTCTTCTTCTTCTTCTTCTAAGATCTACATAAAGTATTATGTATCTAATTTGATCATCGCATATGTTGTTCATGAAATATCTACTCTAAATGCTAAATATGTACCTTGATAATAAAATATGTACCTTGATAATAAAATATGTACCTTGATAATAAAATATGTACCTTGATAATAAAATATGTACCTTGATAATAAAATATGTACCTTGATAATAAAATATGTACCTTGATAATAAAATATGTACCTTGATAATAAAATATGTACCTTGATAATAAAATATGTACCTTGATAATAAAATATGTACCTTGATAATAAAATATGTACCTTGATAATAAAATATGTACCTTGATAATAAAATATGTACCTTGATAATAAAATATGTACCTTGATAATAAAATATGTACCTTGATAACAAAATATGTACCTTGATAATAAAATATGTACCTTGATAATAAAATATGTACCTTGATAATAAAATATGTACCTTGATAATAAAATATGTACCTTGATAATAAAATATGTACCTTGATAACAAAATATGTACCTTGATAATAAAATATGTACCTTGATAATAAAATATGTACCTTGATAATAAAATATGTACCTTGATAATAAAATATGTACCTTGATAATAAAATATGTACCTTGATAATAAAATATGTACCTTGATAATAAAATATGTACCTTGATAATAAAATATGTACCTTGATAATAAAATATGTACCTTGATAATAAAATATGTACCTTGATAATAAAATATGTACCTTGATAATAAAATATGTACCTTGATAATAAAATATGTACCTTGATAATAAAATATGTACCTTGATAATAAAATATGTACCTTGATAATAAAATATGTACCTTGATAATAAAATATGTACCTTGATAACAAAATATGTACCTTGATAATAAAATATGTACCTTGATAATAAAATATGTACCTTGATAATAAAATATGTACCTTGATAATAAAATATGTACCTTGATAATAAAATATGTACTCAGTCGGTGACCAAACAATACACACAATCCTCAGCTCACTACTTAAAGTACAACTTCCTCTTGTTCAATATGAGATGTTATACCTCCTTTTAGGTGCCGTTCTTACTCTATGTGGCCTCCCTGTCGTACGTGGCGTCCTTACTCTCTCTATGTGGCCTCCGTGTCGTACGTGGCGTCCTTACTCTCTCTATGTGTCCTCCGTGTCGTACGTGGCGTCCTTACTGTGTCATCCGTGTCGTACGTGGCGTCCTTACTCTCTGGGTGTCCTCCCTGTCGTACGTGGCGTCCTTACTCTATGTGTCGTCCGTGTCGTACGTGGCGTCTTTACTCTCTCTGGGTGGCACTCTACCTCATCTGATATACCTATGACTAGTTTCTAGATTTTTTTTTGACCTCTTGTAATCCGACCTAAGGCAAGTTTTTTTGTTTTGTTTTTCTCGTATCAGTCGTGCCCTCATGTGCATCACAGCCTGGTTGATCTGTCACTTAGTGGCGGTAGTGACATCTAAGTGAGTACAGATAGGAAGCGCGTTTGTCTGGCGCTCAGAAGACGGTGGATCAGGCCTCCACCACGTCTTCGCTGAATGACCCACATGGGTTTAGCGCTTAACATGAATTATTAATTAATTAGGTGAGGTAGTGATCCAGTTACCTCTTGGAAACTTCTACAGTTGTTCCGACAATCTTGCTGATATCGGCTGGCAGCAGAAGACTCTTGGACCACTAATGTTGACTCAGTGTTCCGTTATTGTGTACATGGCGCCTCTGCTCTTCACTGGGCCTATCATGTGCTTCCTCTCGTATCTATTCTCCTGTATTTTGTTATGACAGTGTGTAGATTTAGGACCTGGCCCTCCAGTATCTTCCAGGTGTATATTATCAGTTGCCTCTCTCTTCTTCGCTCCAAAGTGTACAACTTACCAAGTAATTTGAGGCGCTTACAGTAGTCTAAACACTTTATTGACACTACACAGCTGCACACTTTCCAGCTCTGATATGTCACCTGCCTTGAATGGAGTCGTCAACACCGAACAATATTTTAAACAAGAGAGAGAAAAGTGATTTAATTAATGTCACCACTGGTATTATTTCTCCTATTTTAAAAGTTCTCATTATCCACACTGTGACTGTTATGACCTTTACGGCAGTTGTCTCATTGTGTTCTCTAAATGATAGGTAATCTGACATTAGTTTGCCCAAGACTTTTACATATTACTTTTCGTTCTGCGAGATGACCTCCTTCTCTTGTGTATCTAATGATTCTTTTTATTTAGTTCTTCATTGAAATTATTGTTATTTAAAAATAACATTACTGAACGTAATGTTATTTTTCTACTGTCCACTGGAACACTTTGTTAGTATCTGTTTGCATTTTTTCCGTGTCTTTTAAAGAGGCGACGTTCATGCATATTTGGGTATCGTCCATAAAAGATGGCTTTTGCTTTTATCTATGTCTGCTATGAAGATAAGAAACAGAGACGGCGCCAGGATCGCGCCTTGGATTACTGAATATTTTACTTTGCTAAAGCTAGATTTTGCTTCCGTTGTTACCACTTGTTGTTTTCTCCTCGTCAACAAACTGAATTTTTTTTTCCTAACTCTCTTGTTATGCCTATTGGTCTTACTTTGTTGGTTATCACTTCATGATCGCATTTGTTAAATGCCTCGGCGAAGTCTCTAGTCTCTAGACCTGCTCCTAGGTGGCGTCCTGCCACTCTAGGTGGCGTTCTGCTCCTAGGTGGCGTCCTGCCACTCTAGGTGGCGTTCTGCTCCTAGGTGGCTTCCTGCCACTCTAGGAGCTTCCTACAGACGGACAACAAGAAACTTTTTCTCTCACTTTTCTCAGTTTTCACAAGAAGGAAAACTATTGTTTTTCAGTGCATCTAAAGAAATAAGAAAGAACATATTGCCTCTTACCTTTTTTCAATGCCTCACTTAAGATGAGCTAAAAGAAACATTGCATCTTACCTTGTTCAATGAGTCTCCTGGCGACGTCGCAACCGGAGGAGCTGGCAAGTGCCTCCCTCTCCTGCACCAGTTGGCGAATGTATTCCATCCTCTCCTGATGGAGAGCGTCTGCTGTCGCCCCCTCTTGCATGTTGGCCGCTTGCGGAGTGGCCGGATTGACCACCGCCTCCATGACGAAGGTCACTGGAGGAGGAGCAGGAGCTGTGCCTGGCACAGGAACAGAGCCGGGGACGCCACTGCCCACCGCAGCAGCACCAACGGGGATAAACACAGCCGTCGTGGTGGTTGCTGACACGAAGTCGAAGATTTTTACAAGAGTCGAACTCCGCCTGTAGACTTGTTCCTCTGTGGCACTGAGTTCTAACTTCACTGAAAACCAGCGATGTTGTTACTGAGTTTGCAGATCAGTCCTGAGTGGAAGTTGGCTAAATTCTCGGCTGTATATAATATTTTTTGACCTGACTTCGAAGTGATTTCGAAGTGTCCTTTCGGTTGTGGCTTCACTGATTCTTCATTTTTTCTTTTCTTGAGGATTTTTTTTTTGCACTGCAGCAAACCAGTTCGCAACGGGGTACCACTTCGTAAACAGTCGCTTACACTGAGTTGGGATATTATCCGGTTGACACTATGTGTTGTTGCTGAGTGTTCTTACTGCCGCCTCAGCTCTCTCTCAGCACTCATGGGAGTCCGTTTACCAGTAGAGCTGAGGGTCAGTAGGTGTTTTGTGAGTTATTCCCTTGCAAGTCTCCTTTTTATGATGCACTTAAACTTTCTCTACACACTCCTCTCTCATTCTACTTGATTCTTTGTAATTCTTAATGGGCGCGAGAACTTTTTTTGACAAGTTCTAATGCACCTGGAGTTATTCTTGGAAGGAGTTCTCATACACTTCAAGGTTTTATTAGATGAAGTTCTGGCACTTGAATACAGCTGAAGTTCTGGCACTTGAATACAGCTGAAGTTCTGACACTTGAATACAGCTGAAAATCTTGAATATGCTCTTCTTCTGGGGATTAAAATTAAAGAATTTAGTCAGAAGTAAAAAAAATTCGTTCCGGGAAATACTCAGAAAGTCTATTGGTCCTTAAAGGCCTCCTCTTAGGGCAGAGTAAATAAGATGGTATTCAAATCTAGAATGATGCAGCAAAAAAAAAAAAAAAACAGTCTTCAAGCTGGATGAAAAGTTACTAAGGTACACAGAGTTAGTAAGCGAGGGGTCTCAGTGCTGCAAACCTCCTGCAACTTTGCAACTCTGCAACACAGCTCCACACAACCCTTGATCCCACGCCAGGTAAAGCAAAGGTCAAAGGTCACTCCGCCCTGGGCTTTCTTTTTTAATAGTATTTTCCCGGCGAAAACGCCCACCTGAGAGATTATTTGGGTGGGGAAGAGATGGTCTCACGTGTAGAGTACTTGGTACATCCCTCAATTAGAATTGTCTTGAAGGAAAGGAAAGCCACTTTAACTGAGACAGTATCTGTCCTGGAGGTGAATCCTGTCGCAAAATTTAATGTTGCAGGTTATTCACTGGCGAGTGTTTTAATCTTCTCACCTGAAGGGGCGAAGTGTTGTAGTTTTAGTAAGACAGTCCCTTCCCTCACTAAAAAATTCTTGAAAAACAGCACACATACACACTTTGTCTCATTAAAAAACTCCCACAAACGAAACACCGTTCGTAAGTTTATTTTGACTTCGCAATGGTTATCCCCCCAAAATCACTGGTGATATATAGCACATTGGTTCAGAATCCAAACGACTTGAATTCTCAGGTAAGATCACAACACAGTGAAGGTGAAGCAGCGGGCACTGAAGCACCGGGGTATAATATGAGCAGATCAAGCCTGGGAGGGCAATGGTTGGCTGAGTGGCACAAACGAGACACGAGATGCAGAGGGATTGGAATAGGGGCAGCAGCGATCCACTCCCTAGAACGGTCGGGCAGGTACTGAACCAGCACACACACA